GTGTGTGTCTATGTGTGTGTGTGTGTGTGTGTGTCTATGTGTGTGTGTGTGTCTATGTGTGTGTGTGTGTATGTGTGTGTCTATGTGTGTGTGTGTGTGTCTATGTGTGTGTGTCTATGTGTGTGTGTGTGTCTATGTGTGTGTGTGTGTCTATGTGTGTGTGTGTGTCTATGTGTGTGTGTGTGTCTATGTGTGTGTGTGTGTCTATGTGTGTGTGTGTCTATGTGTGTGTGTCTATGTGTGTGTGTCTATGCCCATCCGAAAATGACTTATTTAATATCATGGTTATGTATAATTTCCTAAAAAAGATAAAGATCAAAGGAGTCAGTAGTAGTTATTAGGTTAATGATTTAAGATTTCACTATATAAATTGCAAGCTTGCTAACAAATGACAAATTAAAAATAAGCATTATTCATTACTCACCTCGACAGTGTAGAACTAAATGTAAAACTAAAATGCTGATACGTTTTTTATTAACTGTATCCTGTATCTCAATACTGAAGCGTTTATTTAACGTTAAAATAAACACTAGATTTAGGACCCATTGTGTTTTAGGTTTTGGTTAATAAGTTTATATTTTTCTGTGGCTTACATGTACAAATTGTGAAACATATATGGGTGATTCTCGCCTAACTGTGATTTTTTATGTCCAGTGTTTTATTTATCGTTTAGCATAAGTTTTCCTCATCAAAAAGTTAATAATATTATAAAATTAGAGGTATTTTACAACCGACATTATGAATTAGATCATAAACCTTCGTAATTTTTTTTTAAGCTGCATATAAATATACTCGAAATGTCAGTACCGTGGCATGTCCGATTCTCATTTTTAAAATTAAATATATAAATTTCTATCAAAATTCATTTTTTAAAATAAAATTTACCTCTTATAACTACAATCTAATGCATACTGCATTGAATTTTATTGCAATTTTATACCAATCTTTCGATTGGTAAAAAAAATAATCATTTATATGTCAGTACCGTGGAAATAATGTCAGTACCGTGGCATTAAAATTTTTAAATTTTGTCACATTTTTCGTTGTGTCGTAGCTGTAGTAGAACCACTTTACAGGCTTATTTCTATGCATAAATAGAAAACAAAAACGCGTAAAACATACGGTTTGAAACGTTTTTAATTTTAGAAAAATGTAAGTTGTAAAAATCACAGTTAGGCGAGAATCGCCCATATAGTCGGTTTAAAGCACACTTATTGTATATCCAAAAACGCATTTTTGGACAATTGCAAATTTAAACTTCTAGAAAGTGTAATTAAATGCCTTAATTCAGTTTTAAATTTGAATTTATTGTAGTTTGGTGGGTGTTGGACCCATGTTGGAGCTACACAGTTTGTGCTCAATAAAGAAGACTAAAATGTGATTTAATTGGTACCAAGATCGTTAAAACATTAAATTTGGAGTTACAATAAGTGTGCTTTAGACCGACGATATTAACTAATACATTATCAATTGATAAACATGTGCCACCAGTCAAATATCGGCCCACATGACATTTGGGAAGTACAGAGTCGCAAAAAACCCAAAAAACGATACCCTCCTTTCTCTAAATATATTAATAAGAATTAAGTCAGTTCTATAATAGGTTTTTTCTAGCTCATGTTTTTTGCTTGTTTTTTATTTTTTCGTCTGTTTTTGGTTTTTGCTTGTTTTTTTTGCATGTTTGCTTTTTTTGTTTTAATTTTGTTTTTTTTTATATATTTATTTTTGCTATATTATTTTTTATTTTTGTACATATTTTAATTCTTTTCGTCTGAGCTTTAAATTTAAGGAGTTTACATGATTATAAATAATTTATTATACATCGAGATTCTTGAGGGAGAGAAGATGTGACAAATTAATAGGTAGTTGAACTGTATTTTTGCATCCGAAACAGAACTTAATTCCGAGGTAGGTTTTTTTACTCCCGATAAAAAATTTTCTTTCTTTTTTTCCCGCAACTAATAATTATTAAAGTAATTAAAAAATTATCGTGAAATAATCTTGTCGAATTTCCCAAAATGAAACTAACTGAGGATCTCCCCGTTAGAATCCAAGAAAGGAACTTCGCCAAACCGTAATTTATCTACTACTTATTGTCCAAAAAGTTTATTAAAAGTTATCATGAAATATTCTTTTCGAATTCCCCAAAATCGAACTAACGGAGGATCTCCCAGTTCGAACAAGGAAGTTCGTCAAGGCGAAATTCAACTGGCGCTCGATATCAAACATTTTATATTCATCGTGTTCTATCATACAGGGAATACCGTTATAATAGTTTGATTTTCTTCTTTTGATTTCATAAAATAATTCTCAAGGAAAAATTTGTTTTCTATTATACAGTTTTAATTATTTTGTGCACATTATTTTCTTTTTATTGTTTAACCATTGTATTTAAACCATTCATTTGATAGGGAAGTTATTTTCTAATATAAGGGAGTGCTGAATCTCCGTTTTAATTATTCCATATACATTATTTTCTCTTATTGTTTAACCATTGTATTTAAACGATTTATTTGATAGGAACATTATTTTCCAATATACATGGGGTGGCGATATTGCGGTTTTAGTTATTTCATATTTTCTTTTTATTGTTTAAAGTTAGTATTTAAACCTTTTATTTGATTTAATAAAACAATTCTTACTTGAAAATTCATTTTCTATTATACCAGAAGTACGGGCGGTACCGAACACTGTATCCCGAGTTTTTAGAGTGTTTTTATTTTATTTTTGTAAATATATTTTATTAATAATTCCTGTTTCTTTTCTTTTATTACCGACTCTCAACCGTTTTATTTCAGGTTACCGTAGGGTAGTATAAGGTGTGAGGTAGAATAGTTTCTTTTATTATAATTTAGTGGCTACCTCATTAGCGCCTGGAAGTATTTTTAACTCCACTGAGCCTACCTTGAGTGTACTACAGTGTCGCAGAGTAAACTGCGTTAGCAGAATTGGCGCCTGAGCAACCCTTATTCTGATTTAACCACCTCTTTGCTAAACACGAGTTCCTACTTCACAGCAGGTGAAGCCAGAAGCCTGTCACAACACTTACAAGCCAAGGTGCATATTTTCCGACGTACAACTAGCAATATTGCATCTTTAAAACGAGCCATTCATGATGAGACGCTTCGCTGCATGCGGCGCTACACAGGTCTCGCGAAAAACTGCCTCGCGCCATCTTTTGAGATTTCAGTCAATTGTGGTTTACTGTTAGTTGTCAACGCTAATTATGGCGTCTTCCTATTGGTCTTCTAATGAGTAATGTATTGCAATTGGTATAGCAGCTTGCCTGATAATGAATTCCTTCAAAAACAATTTGTCGCTTTCCATCTGAAACAGTTAAATGAAAAAATAACGTATTTCCACAATTTACGTATCGCCGCATATTATGAAAGAGCAGTGTTCATTTATGGAAAATATAGAGATAAGTAGTAAAAGTACTTTGTATTTCGCTTCACTATTAAATAGTTTTATAAAATTTATTTACAAGTAGAAATTACATTTCAGATGGACAGCAACAAATTATTTTGAAAGGAATTCATTATCAGGCAACTACTACACCATAATAAACACCTGTGTACCGCCGCACGCGGCGAAGCAATCTCAACGTGAATAGGCCGTTTTAGGAAAATTCCTATTTCATGATTTGTCAAACACATTTATTAGTTGACTTCTGGTTGGCGTGTGTTTATAATGAACACTTTCAAGTTGCTGAGGTTACTGTCAATAAGTTTGATGTTAATATGACTAAAATAATACAATAAATACACTCACCTTTTTGACTGCTGATATATTTGTTTACATATTATAATACTGTTTAGTTTTAAGAGGAAACCGGACCTCTCGCGAAAGCAAAAATGTTTTAAGGATTTTCTAATTTATAATTGTATTTATATGCGTGCCATTGGGAATACTTCGTGATATTATGTGTCTTGACAATATTGAGAGCTTTAAATTTGTGCAACGATAAGGCAGCACTCTACTGAGACGTTTAAGAAAAAAGGTGGAAAAGCATTCCATTAAAAACTACTAGATATTTATTAAAAAAAAAGAGCAGTAATTTTTTTATAGATTCAATAAAGAATGGCGCGTAAATATTTTTTTATTCTTTTTAAAATTTTTCAAAATATGTAAATACTTTTCGAAGGTTTACAAAAAATTCAAGGTTTCTCCACCCTAAGTTTTATTATTATTGGTATTTCCAGAAAATTTCACAAAAATCGGACTAAAAATAAAAGCTCAGAATGAATTATAAATTTTCGAGGTGTCCAGTTTGCTCTTAAAGATCATTGTTAATAGCTCCACTGAGTATCACTGCAACAAGTTTTACTGCTTCATGTATGGCAACAATTTTTAAACAAAAGTATTTTCCACTCAATAAAAGTATTTATTCCAAAGGGCCGTAGATACAACTTTCTTGACATTAATTGACGCCAAAAAAGGCCAGTTATAAAATTATTGGTAGGAACAGCATTTTTTGTTGGTTTTTCGTATTAGTTTATCAGGATAGAGGAGCTTATTAAACAAAGACTGTGACACGTGTATACAATGTTGCCAGTTAATAATACTCTCAATAATTCACCACTTACAACAGAATTTAAACCCAAAAGCTAAGCTTGTCTGGGGAAGGGACGGCTATTATTATTATTTGCTGTGGCCCTCCGGGAGACTTAAAGATGATTAATAGTGCCATTTGACTTACCATTATCGAAACGGTAAAGCATGTCGATTTATAATCTATATGCCATATCAACAGAAATTAAAATTCTGCTAATACAACATCCATCAAATCTTATAACGAACTATGCACATTAATCAAAAATTCACATTATCTGTGTAGGGTTCGAAGCCGCGTGTCTTTCAACCACAATAATGCTTGTAAATGAATGCAAGTCCGTAAAACAACTACGCCACCGAGACGATAATAGGTCTATAATATATAATTTCTTCTAAATATTTAATGATCTATGGTAGAAATCAATACAAAAATAAATAGTACTTACTTTTTTTCATTTTTGCTCAGGTCTAATCTATCTGGTAATACATTATAAGATATTCTACAAATTCTATTGTCTTCTAACAACAAAGCTATATAATTTGGTGATAAACAAACTCGCTTAATTCCAGTACGTAAATTTGACAATCCTGGATGGACATTCTGCCCCAACCTGTTGATTCTATCTGCTACCTCTTTCAACCTAAAATAAAATAGTGTTTTAAAAACATTCAAATTAATTGTTCCCTTAACAGATAACATTATTTTATTTACAATAGAACAATATTAAAAACCTAATGATTTATAAAGTCTTGAGTAACATATTTCTTTTACAAGACAATGCTAAGTATACAGTGTTCATCTAAGGTCCCTTCGACCCCATTTATTTTTGAAAGAACTAAAAAAATGTTTTTATTATTATTATTAATTATATTGTATTATATATGTTATAAGTTATATATTATATTATTATTTAGCTAATTTGCTAATATGACAATATACAAATTTAGTAATATATATTGTAATGATATCGCACAATACCAATTTTATTATTATTATTATTATTAATTAAGTATAATATTTATTTACCTTAAGCTTGCTACTTTTTTTTTTATCTCAGGGGTGCTTCAAATTATAATAATACCTTTTTTATTTTGTTTAATTATGTATTCTATTTTAATTTTCTTTTATTTCAATTGTATTTTAATTCTATTTTAATGTTATTATAATTTTCTTTTAATTTAATTTGTAAATAATCAACAAAATAAAAATGTATGACTTGACTTGTTTATTTCTCTGTATTTTCAAATAAAATAAACACATTTTCAAAACCAAAAAAATACAACTTTTATTTATAAATACATTATTCCCAACCTTAAAACTACAAATTGCCAAATATACCCCACTATTTACTTTGATGGGGATGACACTATACTATATATTAAAATTAAGTCTATTGAAAGTGTCCACTAACATTTTTTTGTACTTGAACCCGTCTCATCGGTGTCGGCTTCGAAAGCTCAATTTTTTCAAAAAATGTTTAGGTTTGTTCCAACACAATAGCAAATCGGTTTGCGTACTGTCGGGATTCTGCGCAGTCTAGATTTGGTGTTCCAACAAACTTCGGACTCAAAACTGTACAAAAACCTAGTGTTCCAACACACCCAAACCTAATCACAAACCAGTTTCTGTACTGTCAAATCAGTTCCTGGGTGTGAATATGAACGAATTGTCAAGATATGCGCAAAACGAAAGTGAGCTCGTAAATAAACCACCACCAACTCTAAAAATCGAATAATTAAAATTTATAAATCTTTTCATGAGTTTTATAATTTTTTTACTTCCCAATTCAAAATTTTACATTTGTTAAATTTGCTTTTACTTTGAAGTTATTAACAGAGTGTGTCTGACAACATAAAAATGTGTTCCAACACATCCAAGTTCCGAATCGCGTCCCAATCCTCGACAGGTCGTCGACAATAAGTTGTGGACTGGTTTATGTATGGTCCCAAAATTGTTGTTGGAACAAACCTTTAATATTTCGTTATTATCACAAAACAGTTGAAGTTATAAAAACATTGTCAAAGAACAATTTGTAGGAAAATAAATTTTCTACAAAAATACCCTTTATGGATTTTCTGAGGTGCGTAGTCCAAAAGGTATAAAAATCTAAAAAAAAAATATATGAAATTTTAATTTTTATTGTATGATTTTTTAACTTACGCTTTTTTTAACAAAATTAACAGTAGATGTAATTGGCCGGTTCTGGAAATGAGAAAGAGGTACAGAGAGAGGCAATTGGGTAATTAGTAATTATCCTAAGTACCCCCCACCCTTCGCGCAATTAGCAAGTACCTCCCAATTACATCATGTACTGTAATAAGCGCAATTGCACAGTAAGTACCACCCAATTACATCATGTACTGTAATAAGTGCAATTGCACAGTAAGTACCTACCAATTACCCACAGGGTATACATCTCATTACTCCATACATATTAAAGTGTAAGTACACCTTAGGTAGTAATTACTGTATGCAATGTTGTGTAGTGAATGTTATCTAAGTGCCTCCTAGTGATTAATGTTGGCAGCACGTCCTTAACTCTCGGCCGGCGTGCCTAGAGTGCTTAGCTTGCGTTAGAGACGGTTGTGCTTAACCGAAATATCGAAGTAAGGGACTAAGAAGGGGTAGCCTGCGCCAGAGATAGACGCGCAATTAGAAAGTACCTCCCAATTACAGCATGTACTGTAATAAGTGCAATTGCACAGTAAGTACCTCCCAATTACCATGTACACGCCATACTGTAATGATTGTAATTGCATAATAAGTACCTCCCAATTACCCACAGGGTATACATCTCATTACTCCATATATATTAAAGTGTAAGTACACCTTAGGTAGTAATTACTGTATGCAATGTAGTGAATGTTATCTAAGCGTCTCCTAGTGATTACTGTTGGCAGCACGTCCTTAACTCTCGGCCGTCGTGCCTAGAGTGCTTAGCCTGCGTTAGAGACGGTCGTGCTTAACCGAAATATCGTGGTAAGGGACTAAGAAGGGGTAGCTGCGCCAGAGATAGACGCGCCCAACTGAAATATCGAGGGAGGAGCTAAGAAGAGGTGGTGGAATTTTCTAGAGGATATATATAGTAAGACCCGCATCCAAATCCGTACAAATATCGTTAGCTTTAAGCCTATCGGGAGTTCTATCATCTAATATCGAAATAATCATAAAAATAATAAACATGTATAAGTGCAATTGTGGTTTAACATATACAAGGGTAGATAATTTACGTCGACATCAAAATAAAAGTTGTAAGCTGATATCTAACCGCATCGGCGAATCATCCGGAGGTACGAAGAGATCTACTACTCCCAATAATGATGTTCCACCTGAAAAAAAAGCCCGGGTAATGCGAGTTCCACAAGTTCATACGCATCGCATCGTAGACTCAAAAGCCCATAATAGAAGATGTGAATCATGTAATGTAGATGTCCCTACCAATCAGATGACGTCGCATATGAGGAGTCTTGGGCATAAAGAAAAAGCCTGTGCAATTCATGCCGATGGTATATATTTAATTAAGAGCGCGTTTAAGTGCAGAATCGCAACTTACAGGCTTAAATGTGATGAAAAACATATAGATTATGTAACATTTTTTGATGCGATAAAATTAAGAGTATTGAAATTGTTAAAAGTTGTTCTGAAGGCCCATAATGCCATTAAAGTTAATGTAAAGGCCTTCGCTACTTATGCATTGGAGAGCCAAGATGTTTCTGAAATCAAATCTTTTAACAGCATAAATCGAATACTCGATTTGTCGACGGATTTGGATGCGGTATATGTAGACTTTAAGGATGCTGTGGTATCTCAAACTGCAGACTTTCAACATAAGGATTCAGGTATAATAGTTTTATAATTCATAGTATAGCGTTTACTAATATATTACTAATTGTTTCAGGTTGGACATTACGGGAAGTACTATTTTTAGAAGTAAATATAAATAAGTACTCCCCATTAGGCGGCTGCTCGTACATTAAGCTCCCCAAGTTTATTGAAACCAAGAAGGGTGTAGTTAATGTCCAAAATAATGATGCGTATTGCTTTGCTTGGGCCATCACGTCGGCGCTCTATCCAGCGAGGGACAATGTTCACCTAACGACATCGTATCCACACTTTGAGACCGTGCTGAATGTTGAGGGTATTGAATTCCCTATGAAGCTTAAAGACATTTCAAAATTTGAAGATTTAAATGACATAAGTGTTAATGTTTATGGTTTGGAACGTAGTTATGAAAATGGTAAGGTTAAATTCGAAATAGTAGGCCCATTACGATATTCCTCTAGGAGGTTAGGTCACCATATAAATTTACTATTAATAACGGAGGATTCAGGAAATAGTCACTATTGTTGGATTAAAAATATTTCCAGATTGGTATCGAATCAAGTAACTAGAAATTAACATAAAAAAATTTTTTGTGACGGCTGTTTACTTTATTTCCGATCTGAAAGCACACTATTGCGGCACCAATTGCGCGATTGTAATCATATATACACCAGCACGCCATCAGTGGAGCTGAAAAAAGACAAACGCGGTAATTATGTACCTGAAAACATACTTAAGTTTCAAAATTATGATAAGCAACTTAGGGTTCCATTTGTAATTTACGCTGATTTTGAATCGATTTTAAAACCAATAGATACTTGCGAACCAGATCCGGAAAAAAAGTTTACTATCCCGACATACCAACATGAACCATATTCTTTTGCATATTTGATTAAATGTTCGTTTGATAATTCATTGACGAAATTTGTAACTTTTACGGGTGATAATGCTGGTAGCGATTTCGTGAAACGGCTAGAGGACGATGTTTTAACTATTTATAATACCTATTTAAAAGACGTTGTTCCGATGCATCAGCTGTCTAATGATGAAATAGATGATTTTAACTCGTCAACTATATGCTCTATTTGCGATGAGCCTCTTCAGGAAGGTGACGTTAAAGTAAGAGATCATTGTCATGTTACCGGTAAGAAAACACCTGGCGAAGCGCATAGCAATTGTAATTTAAATTATAAAATCCCACAATTTGTTCCAATATTTTTCCACAATTTGAGTGGGTATGGCAGTCATTTATTTATTAAAGAATTGTATGGCGAAGGTGAGAGGGCCGAAGTTATTGCACAAAATAAAGAAAAATATATTTCGTTCACTAAACCATTGTACACCCATAGCTATGTAGATAGAGATGGTATGTTGAGAAAAAATTACATAAAACTTAGTTTGGATAGTTACAGATTTTTAGCTGATTCATTGGCTGGACTGTCAGAAAACCTGCCATCAGAATTTTTTGTTGAAACAAGGAAATTTTTTGCAGAAAAAGAAAAATTCTTCAATTATTGATCAAATTTCATTATCGTGCCCAGTATGACCGGCTTGCTTTGAACTCCATAATAAACGCAATCTAGCCACCAATTCTCTCGGCTTGTTCCAATAAACATATGTGGGTTTAGAGGTCATTATTTTTTTGTATTTAGGTATTTTTGAAAACCCTTTACCCTTTACCTTTGCCGGAGAGAACAATGGTCTAATAATTTTTCTCAATTTATTTGCATTTTTGTTACTTAGCCCTTTGGACTCGGCATACTCCTTATTCCCAACCATTGTTTTCATGTCTTTGTCCATATATACGCCGTACCGAGT